ATAGGCTTTGTTTCTAAAATTTCATATTAAATAAGCTGAGTATTTGCTTTATTATACACATCACTTTTTAGGTTAATCAGACTAATTCTAATTCACAACTAATAATTATTTAATCAGTGTTTCCATGTGATACACCAGAGAGGCCCATTTCTGTTGGCCAAAACAGAAAAGAGAATATTTATGTAATTCTTATGTCTGGAAATGGCTGTAAAATTACCGCTGCTCCCTGAACCTACTTTACAGTCAGAGAAAAAGAGTGAACAGTTTTCAAACCAATGAAACCCTGATAAACATGGCTGATATGGACCATATCACCTGTTGTCACTACTTTGAACAATCAAGCTGTTAGAATCTACCAAGTATGCCTGAGGGGAAAAATTTGCCTTAAATTTACTCAGGCAAATGTAATAGTCATTTGAGTAAAAGCAAATTGTGAAATAAAACACAATGTGTCAAATTGCAAACAAGTTTTATAATTTATTTTCTTAAACAAATATGAAAAAATAGGCAAGATCATTTTACTAAACAGGTGTTTGCTCATGATCTTTACAAAAAAGGAACTATCACAAATGGATAAGATGTGATTCAAAGAGTAATATGCAAAACTTATGTTCTAAGCTGGAACGCTAAGCTTTCTCTGAAAACCACAGCTAAGAACTGCTGTTAATAAACAACTACCTCATGATATAGACTCTAGTTGGCTTCTCTTCAGCAATAGAATTGCTGCTAACGTTGCTAAAACTGGATACAAAGTACATTTTTGTTTTACTGTGTATTATAATAGTTAAGTTTTACATAGTTGATATTTTAGTTTGTTGGTATTTTCTTTAATACGGGAAGTTTTAATACCAACCTAATCAAAAATAAAGACTGAAAAATATTTTTAGTTACATTCATATCAAATATCAAACATTAATAATCATTAATAATCAAACATTCCAGAAAGCAATAATTATAATGCAGAATACTTGATTTAGGTTTTAGCCATGTTCTCCCTTAGAGTTAGTTTGCTTCTGATTCGATATTTTCTGTGCACACCCAGTGAGAATGATTGGCACCATAAAAAAGAGAATAAAGGGGCTCTTTGAATAGATAATAAATATTTTTTTGTTTGTCAGATGCAACTGCAAAAAAGATAACTTACATTTTAATCACATATCGACTAAGGAGGGGCTGTGAATGTGAAGGGTTCATGTGTTCATGTAATATGCTTGTCATGATCTTGGTACTGATGACTGGCTTAATGGTTCATTCCATTCACCTTCCTTGCACCACCTAGTTTCTAATCACTGTTCATTTTATCTACCTGCTCCTGCTTCTATGCAAATTGCTTGCTCCCAGTCATCAGTGCCAGATTATTGGAGCCTTCGGTGAGAGATCTCTAGTGTAACTGTTGTTGTACTGATTACCTGATCCTGACCAGTTCTGCCCACGGACCTTTGAGCCTGCCTGTTCCTGTTTCGGATTTGTTTGCCTGATCTGTCTTCGGACTTCTGCTGGTTTCTTCTTGTGGACTGAAGCTGGATCTGCCTCCTTACTTCGACTTGGATTTCCCTTCGGTACCTGTTGAGATCTCTGATCTTCTGGTCTGGAGTCTTGCTAAAGAGAAACACCGACTTTTTTACTTTGGTCCCTTGATTTCATGTTATTACATCATGTTCTACTCACCCATATTAGTTTTGTGTCATTTGGAGCTGTTATGAAGATATTCTGTTTTGTTATATCCAAGTAACGTCTTCCTATGGGCAACTATTCAAAATGTATTATTTATGGTACGGCGGCATTCATAACATGTAGGGGAATCACTGTCCCCCAGACATCCACGGTTATATTTTTTATATTTATATCTTTTAAAAACAAAGCGGATTGTGTATGACGTCATCCGCGCACGCCAGACTGGAGTTGTGATAAGCAGCCCGGGCCACAGGCAGCTCAAATCGATATGGACGTCCATCATATTCAAACTCATCAATGTCATAATCTGAATCGTTCAATTCCATTTCCAGAGCGAGATCATCTGTGGTAGTATCACTAGACATCTTCCAGGCATGTAAGTAAAACTAGCAGCAGTTCAGCGGACAGAATGAATGAATGGTAGCCGGCGCGCGTGGATGGTGTCATACACACTCCGCTTTGTTTTTAAAAGATATAAATATAAAAACCGCAGATGTTTGGGGGACAGTGATTCGCTTACATGTTATGAATGCTGGTGTACCATAAAGAATACATTATGAACAGTTTAGTTTGTGCCTTCAACTCGTTGCCCAAAGGAAGACGTTACTTGGATATAGCAAAACCAATTATATCTTCGTAACAGCTCCAAATGACACAAAACTAATATGGGTGAGTAGAACATGATGTAATAACTTAAAACCAAGGGCTCAATGTAAAAAAAAAAAAAAAAACGGCGTTCCCCTTTAACCTCTTTGACACCGGCTTGGGCTTCATCCTCTGGAAACTCCTGCTTAGGTGCTCGTCAGCCAGTTCAGCAATCTTCAGGCTTTGGCTCCTGGAACTCTCTGGGCAGTGTTCACCGTGTGCTGTTGTTAGACATTCGGTTGGATTGTACTCCTTCCTCTGGGCACAAACTGAACTCTAAAACCAGGTTAGTGACTCGCATGCACGTGATCACCGTCCCTCAGATTTACGTGGTCACTAATCTGAGTTTTACATCTACAGAGATTTCAGCCTTTGACGCCCTTGTTGCTGAGTTGCAGATCCAATGTAATTTAATAAACGCTTTTGTGAATCACACTAATCTGTTTGCTTCGAATTGTGGGTCTTCAGTTCTGAGTCTTGCTTGAGTAAGGTTTGCTAGTAAGCTCCAATGGATATGATGCTTGCTGAGAAGGACCAGTTTATCATTGTACAGATATAATGGTTTTATTTTGCCAGAATCTAATTTAAGCTTTGAACTAAAATCTGATCAACTGACTGATTCACTCTATTGAACTCTAAATACTTGTAATTGAAATTATCACACTGAATTTAAGTTGAATTACATGTCTAAGACAATCTTTCCAATCCAAAGAGCCATTTTGCTCTAAGCAAAGAAATCTAAGTAAAAGCAAAATGTAACATGTCTTTTTAATCAAACACAACCTATTATTTTTATTCAATATTTTCCATGTTAAATCTGTTGCCATCCTAAACAACCAACTGTTCATTTGTATCTTTAGCTTTTAGAATAAGGAAAAACAAAACGATTCATAAACATGAATGAAGATGAATGGACTACCCTCTGCAGGTTATTTGATGTGAAAAACACAATTATAAAACCCATCATTTTGAAGCTAATTAAAAGAGAAATACTTCTTTAAAAAAAACACACATTACTGGTTCTTTAATTATTATTTTTTTATCATTCTGTTGTGAAAATTCAATTAGGATATTATTCATAAGGGGAATAATGGCCTAGTGGTTAGAGCAGTGCTCTTGTGCTCAGAGAAGCTGCAAGTAGCCGGCTTGATCCCTACAACCTACACCCTTGGTCCCTGATCAAGACCCTTAACCCCACACTGCTCCCTGGGCGCCACACAATGGCAGCCCAATGCTCCTCAAGGGGATGGGTTAAATGCCGAGCTACATTTATCCAGTTTTAGATTAATAGGTTCAATTATTATTTTAAAACTACTAAATCTTCTAATATTTGTTATTAGAGTACATTGGTCAGTTCTTTATATCATTTTCAGCCACTGTTAGAAGCCCTAGAGGTTCCAAAGAGCCACATGAGGCTCCAGAGCCACAGGTTACCTCCGGTCTGTTAGTTGTCTCACTAGACAATAATATCGCCTAAAGCTTAACTACCTCAATGGGATATTTTTAATAATAAAAAGCAGAGTGAACTGGATCCATAGAAATAAGTCCTAAAGAATATCTGTTCTTTGAATTGGTCATGTTCTTTGAATCAGAATGCTTATTTGTAGGAGATATTAATTTTGGACCACAATTAAAGAGCCAATCGTTTGCAAACTTTCAACTATTTCAAATTTTTCTAATCAGATACTGCTAATAATAAGTTGTTTGACCAATATGCAAACGCTCTAATACAGTAAGACAGCAACAACTACATCCCGAATACACATCTGAAAGGGGGAAATAGCAGTGGCAGCATCATGCTTTGGGGATTTTTTTTTTTTTTTTTTTGCAGGGACATGGAAGCACATCAGGATTAATGGTGAGACTGACCCAAAAAGGGGCATCAATTTTGGAAGAAAACCTGTTGGAAGACTTAAGAACAGCCAAACAACCTACAACCAGATCTACAATGGAATGGTTTAGATAAATTTTGTTTAATTCTGGTCCTTGATATCCACTGTCCTGCATCATTTAAGATATCTGCTTCTAAACACCCCAATAAAATAATCGGGTCATAAGCAGGACTCTGGAAAACTTGACTGCATCCTGAGGAGGTAATTCAACGATTTGATTCAGGTTTGTAAGCAGATCCACATCTTTAAGGACACTGGAAGATGTGGATCTTATCTTATTTAGATCAAAAACATATTAATCTGGTAAAATTACACAAAGTGCAGAAGTGGTTGATAATTAATTAGAATGCTTAACAAATATTAGTGCAGTCACCCAGTTTTGCGGAAAAAAATATCCATTCAATTTTCATTCCTGTAATGTTTCTCCCATTTAACAATTTTCCATTATTCTCTCAGTTAAAAACAGGGAATATTACAAAAAAATAAATACAATGTCTAAGTTGTGATGTGTCTGGATGTGAAAACGTTGCGTATTTTAGCAAGGGTCCATACGTTTTTCAAGTGAAAATATTAACTTTTTCCTGAAGCTGTGGAGTTAAAACTACTCCACGGTGAGCATAGTTTCACTGAATCGCATACTTATCCAGGCATCACTACTCTAACCACTCCAGTAGGTGGAGTTGCAGCGTAGAGCCACGATGCCGCCCCTTTCACCTCCCTCTCGCAGCACCTCTTCACCTGACACTTTTGCGCACTGGGAATCTGGAGCCACACATTCATCACATCACATCCAAAGCGCCGGTACTGGGAGTGGTGGCTGAATCTAGGATATATATTTTTTTCAGTCATCAGTTTCAACACCTATTGCTTGTGAAAATGCGTCGCCCTATTGTGATTTTTGTCAGTTTTATAAAACTGTGTTTTTTTCGTCGGGTGGAATTTGTTGTCACGGTGGTTGTTTTTTGTCCGTTTGTGTTTGGGTGAATCCGTACCTCTGTGCACTCCCAGGAGACTCGCTTCTAACTGCAGCTGCATCAAAGAACCTGGAGACTGACTCACCATCACCTGCCTCCGAAGCAACTCCTAAAACGATTCCCTGTTCTGGATAGTGTCTGATATCAGGAACCTTTACGCATGAAAGACTTCAAGATGAGGTTGATTTTCTCAACAATGCAAAATAAGTTGGACATGTAAGTGCGATCAAGGCCACTGAAATCAATCCATGAATTTGTCTGACTTCTTTTTGATCCGTATATATCTCCCAGTTTAAATGTATGAGTGTGTTTCTTACCCCGACTTCTGTTTGGGAGACGTAACGGAAACTATTTAATAAGTTGCTTTAAAAATCCAAGGGAATTCAAAACTCGAACATCATCGATGTATTGGAGGATAAAATGGCTTAAAGTATATTCTTTGTGCTATATTTTCAATTTTCCGTAACCTTCCAACAGACCTTTACGCAACGCGCATCTGGATCTTGTTTTTACGCGCGCCTGCCATTCTTTATTATGAACGCTGGAGTGAACACCTCCAAGGGGAATGAGGACTCTAATTTCCAGAGTGACTTTACAGAACGGGGGGAGGCCGGGCCCTTTGTATAACCACGCTGCAGCATGCCCTCCTTCCCCAACGACTCGGAGTGCCTCCTGCGTAACTGCAGCTGGGAGGAGATCTACAACACAAGCGGCGCTGATCAGCCTGCACCTCCGCTCAACTACTACTCAATCCCTCTCCTCACGTTAATCACCGTCGCCTGTTCGCTGCTGTTTCTGGTTGGAATGACAGGGAATGTCATGACCATCCTGGTGGTGAGCAAGTACAGGGACATGCGCACCACCACTAACCTCTACCTGTGCAGCATGGCTATGTCCGATCTGCTTATTTTTCTTTGCATGCCACTGGACCTCTATCGTATGTGGAGGTACCGGCCTTGGAACCTCGGAGATGCGCTCTGCAAACTTTTCCAGTTCGTGTCAGAGTCTTGCACCTATTCCACCATCCTGAACATCACCGCGCTGTCAGTGGAGCGCTATCTGGCTATATGTTTCCCACTGCGCGCCAAGGCTCTGGTAACCAAAAGGAGAGTGCGCGCACTGATCTGCATCCTTTGGACGGTATCCCTGTTTAGCGCAGGGCCTGTGTTTGTTCTGGTGGGAGTGGAGAGGGACAGTAATGAACAATCTAACACTTTGGACGTTGAAGACACGCGGGAGTGCAAGATGACACAGTACGCAGTTGAGTCGGGTCTAATGGGAGCCATGGTGTGGCTGAGTTCGGTGTTTTTCTTCATGCCAGTGTTTTGTCTGACGGTGCTGTACAGCCTCATAGGCCGCAGACTGTGGCAGAGGCACAGAGAGACTAATATGAGCTCCCGTGTGGCTCACAGGGACAAAAGTAATAGACAGACCATCAAGATGCTGGGTAAGTTGAAATATTTATTGTAATAAATGGTTAAATTATATATACAATTAAGGTTTAACAAAACATATTAAGAAAGAGTTAAACTAAACAAAAACAAAAAAATCTTAACTGGTATTATTGGCAATATGGTTCACTACTCAGGGCAGCCTTGGATGGAGCCACATCAAGTCCAAAAATCAGTTATGGTTCCTTCTAATAAATTTGAGTATAATTGGAAAGATTTCAAAAAGTTTGTTTGTTTGTTTTTTGTTTGAAATACATGTTTATTTCTGATAATCAGGTAAAACAATGAAGGAAAAAAGAAAATTCAGTTTCAAAGAACATTTTAAGACTGCTGTATCGTTTGTTACAATATAACATTTGGTGGTTCAGGTCAGTACCTCAGGGATGATTTTTGTGTCATTTTAAATGTATTCTTATGTTTACTCACACAGTGATTGTTTTTCGTTTCTCCTGTTTTCCTAGTAATTGCATGGTTCCTCTTTGTTTGATTTTTGGCCTTTCTTTGTTGAATGATTTACCAACATACATCATTCTACCTTTGACATACATAATAACATAAGAAATAGCTTTTTAACCATTTTCCAGCAACTATTGACATCCTCCTTAAAATGGGTAAGCCACAAACAATCCCTGATAGCTTTTCAGTGATTGTTGTTTCAAAGCAAAACAGTGGAAAATTGATTTGAATGGAACTGCATTGTGGACGTTTGTAGCACTGTTTCCTTGAAACTAAAAGATCCTGGGTTTGAATCTCAGCATGAAGTTTGCCATTCTCTCTACAGTAGTCTTAAAACCCAACTGCTAGGCTGATTGGTGATTCTAAATTGGCCTTAGGTGTGTGTGGGGGCAAGGTTGTATGCCTCTGTTGCTCTGCGATGGGCGAACAACCAGACACTGCTGAAGATAGCCACCAGCCACCCATGGACCTGATACACAAGCAGTAGAAGATGGATGGGTGGATGAAATAAAGGGGAAAATGTGGCAGAGGAGTGATCAGGAAGCAAAGACAACCAAAGACTTGTTAATCAGGTCAAATTTATGAATTGTTACAAAAACATTTGCAAGGTGTGGACTGCAGGCTGAGTTGGTCTAAAAGGGGACACGTCTCGCTTTTAAATCCTTCCTTTTTGTCTTTATGATGTAGAAGTGAAACGATTCGTTAAAAATAATCTATTTCTTGAAATCGTTGTCGACAATTTTTCAGACAGACAATTTGACAAACAACAATAAATGAATCAATCAAATACACACGAAAGAGACTAGTTTCAATAACAAAATTCATGTGACCATAAATAGAAATCGAATTAAATTGTTAACTGTAGTATATGGACAGTAAAGAATACTATTTGTTGAAAGAACAACCTATTCAGAGCAGTAACTAACACAAAAAGGTGCAGAAATGTAAACATTGTCCATGGAAATTCTTTTTGGCTCTAAATATGATCTAACCAGGACATTAAGAAACATATTTTTAGCTTGATCAAATTCTGTAAAAAAAAAAAAAGGCACATTTGCTGAAAAAAATATTTATACATACACTTAAAGACGTTTATAGTTAATCTTTAATATTTTGAGTACCAAACTTTTTGAAATGGATTTGAAATGTGTGTCAAATGGTTTTGGTTTTCTAATTCCCAATAATTGATAGTTGCAACCCTAGTTGCAAATCCTAAAGTAGATCTACAATTCTTTGCTCAGAAATTCTTGTTTTTGAAACTCCACAGACCCATCCTCTGAGGTGTGTATGAGAGCAAATCATTAAGTTCACCCTTTTTAAATACAAATTTAAAATGGCCTTCCTTTCCAGGTTTGGGTGGATGGGTAAAGCATGTGACTCATGTACAGATGCCTGCAGTTCAATTCCCAACCCACTGACCTTGGCTGCATTTCCCCACCCACCCCATATACCCCTATTTCTTGTCAGCTTACATTGTTCCTGTCAGTGAGAGGTAATTGAGTGAAAGGATGACAAGCAATAAAACAAAAAACAATTCACACAGCTGTGGAGGAGAATTATGTTTTGGTGTAAAATCCACAACAAACTGAATGGCCTCTAAAACAAAACTTAGAACCAGAGGCTGCCATTGTTGTTATTTGTGTAATTTCAATGTGTGTTAAGGGAGAAGTGTAGCTCACATTGGCTGGCATACGCAAAGACACCAGCTTATTTATAAAGATAGAGGTTTCCACATGGATGGGGTGTCACTGTCTGTGAGGACAGCAAACTCTCCTCATCTAAACCTTAGATGCTAAGAGGAAGATGAGAAGTCTCACTACCAACACAGCAGAGGAACTTAAGGCTCCTTAAAACCTCAACAGAACCCTAGACTGATCCTTTCTTTATTGTTTTTTTTTTTTAATGATAATCTCATTTTCTGACCAACCCTAGTTTTAAGTTTTTATTAACAATAAGCCAGAATCATCATAGTGCACAGAAACACACAGCTGGAATATATTGCTTTTTGCACTACCATGGTTAAATAGGTTTTACTTTTTGATAGAAATAATAAAGTAAAATTAACTTGAAATAGTTTCTAAATGTATTGACAGCACTTATGTATAATTGCTGTTCCTGCTAGTCTCTATGAAAAAGAAGCATATTAAAAACAGCTGAAAATCTTTAGGTGTGCCTCTTCTGGATTACAGTTATTCTCATCTGGCCATCTCTATAAACACTTCCGCAAGGCTCAAAGTGTTAAATAGAGGACAGATAGAAGAAAAATTGTGGTACTAAATTTAAAGAAACTGTATTTTAATGATGGTTTGCAATAGGTCTAAGGGGGGACTGCAACTAATGATTGTTTTGCAAATCAATTAATCTGTTTAATCAGTTTTTATTTGTTATTAATAGATTAGTAATCAGATAGCTAATAATTGCATAATGAAGACTTTTTTCCTAAATCAAACAAGGTGAAACTAAAACTTTTTGACTTGAGGAGTACTGGATAGATCCCATTAGCAGAGATTTTTTTTCATCTTTTTACATCTTACATAATTACTCCTCTAAGTGGTCACTCTGTCTGCTAAAGGCATGCTTTACAGGCTCTATACCCTAGTTAACGATTAATTGATTTCTAAATTATTTGATTATTTCTATAATCTATAAATTACAATTAATCTGATTAATTGTTTTAGCCCTATCTATGGGTTGTATGAAACAACTTACTGCCCAGGATGCATGATTTGCGGGAAAGCACAGACTCTGAATACAGTTATTTGTATTTCCAGGTAATGTGGAGAAAACGATTTTGTTGACAGTGTAAAAAGTATTTGCAGTCAAACATAGCGTCTCTCGTAATGATGCAAAATTTAGCTTTTAAAAGGCGACTTTTGATGTATTTATTTTAAAAATCTGGGCTGCACTAGCAATGCTTTACAAAGAGGCTTTCATGCAACAAAAAATAAACCCTCGTCTGGACTTATTGAAAAGTTTTATTTAAAAAAAAGTAATTTACTGGTTTACTGTTGTCTCATAACTGCTCACCATTTTTCATTCACTACCATCTGTTTCTCTCCTTCTCTCCAAGTGGTGGTTGTGCTGGCGTTTGTCTTGTGCTGGTTACCCTTCCACGTGGGTCGCTACCTGCAGTTCCGCTCCCTTGACGCTCCATCTCCACTGCTGTCCGTGCTGTCTGAGTACTGCAGCCTGCTGTCTGTCGTGCTCTTCTACCTGAGCGCAGCGATAAACCCTATCCTCTACAACACTATGTCATGGAAGTACCGCGGTGCAGCAGCACGCCTATTTGGACTGACTGACGGGCAGCCATCCCGGTGCCGCACAGCCAGCACTTTAAAGGGAGATAGCTCGAATGGCTGGACCGAATCCACAGTGAGTTTGTGAATGCAACTTTGTTGATCCAAAGACCTGAAATGCATTACTTCTATTGGAGAGAAGAACAGTCTCCAAGAAATTGCTTCTATTGACTAAAATAACAAAAAGGGTGAAAAATGCTTAATCTGAATTGTTTCAATAGCTATTTTTTTGGGATTTTTTTTGTTTGTTTTTGAACGCTCCAGTGCTTATGAAATTATTTCAGCAAGTGCCATAACATTTGAAAGTGGTGACTAGTGGAGGGTAAAATAGCTTTACCCGTAAGTGCTTCTTGATGTGCATATGAACAAGAAAGGAGCATTTGTATATATAAATCTAAATATCATACACATCAATAAATGCCTTATATTGTATTCTGGATGACAATGGAAGCACTGTAGAATTTGAAATTTGTTGCACTTGTCTGTACTCCGTCAGAGTGAGGCAGAGGTGCAGAGTGTGTTTGACTGTTAGTGATGCCGACTTAGTCTTCTTTGTTTTCCAAGATACCTGTACGTAGAATTTCCAACCCACACTTTTGTTAATGCTGCAAACAGGAGTCCATCTAGCTTTATCTGCATAAAAGGTTATTCTGGTGTTTTGGTTCCTGAACGGGAGTGATTATTAGATTATCAGCTTAGTTTATTGTAGAGACGGGCAGGTTGGATCCGAGGGTCAGTTAACCCTTTTTCCAATCTAGGCCCCCATTTTTTGCCATTTAATATTATACCCCATTTTGTACCTCTTCACTAATAACCTCTTGTTAAGTATAGTTTCAAAAATTGCAGATTCCTAAGTTTGGATATAGTCCATACCTCCTCAAATACCACTAATATTTTAATTGAAATGTATATACAGTCATTTAAAAAAATGTGTTGACTCCTGCAGAGAAGTCAGCTGATTATTAAGAAATGTTGACATGTTGATGTCTAATATATGTTCTACATTTTGCTAATTAAACAAAAGCTACCTGCAAAGAACATATTTTATAGCTAAAAAACACTAATAAAGTTAGTCTCTAAGATGCTTAATTTCGCCATTTGTTAGTTTCTGACTCCTGTTTTCTGTCCTGGCGAAAATTTGCGCTAGTCCTCAGTTTCAGCTCTGATATTCATTAATGGGTTCTTTGAATGTACAACCTTTTCTGAATCTTTCAACACCATCTCAGTGAGATCCAGATGTGGTCCTTTTCTTCTGTTTAGATCTCTTTCCTAAATCTCTGTCATTCCTTGGTGGATTTACTGGAATGTTTTGGGGACAATCCTGCTTTGTTAATTGTTTTAAAAGATATTCTTACATTTTCCTCAAGCAGCCTGATATATGATAAAATTTAAGGTGGATTATATTGATGCAGAGCTACTCCAGCCTTGAATGCCTAATCCATGATAGTTCCACTTTCATATTTCATAGTTGGTATGAACTTTTCATCCTGGAATGCCATACTTTGTTTAATGCAAACAAGCCCTTCATTTCTAAAGACTCACATGTCTAAAGAACATTATTCCAGAGGGTTGTCTCTTTTTGCCAAATTATCTCAAACTTTAGTCTGATCACCATGTCTTATCTTAGAGGGCAGATATTTCCTCCTTGCACACATAACATGAAAGTTCATCTGCCCACTCTATTTCTGGTTCTACAGGCTTGTATTTTTGTATCAATGGTAGAAGGACCCCGCTCTAGATCTTATGGTGAAATGTAGGGGCATCTTGTAACCTAAAAAATTCATTTGAAAGAAAAAAAAAATTATTGGATTACACATTTTTTCACCATAATACCATTAAAGTAATTTTGGATGTACTGTGCAAGAAGTGTTAGTCATATTTCTCACTGCACTTAAGAAAATCCCAAACATCTAAATGAATATGTCTTCATTCCGAATAGCTTAACTCATTATGTGCTTTGTTATTTGAAAATGCTTCTAATGTAGATTTGTTTTTTTTCTAACACTGCTTTATTGTTTTGGGGGAGCTAAATTCATGTCTGTTATCTGAATGCAGATTGTAGTTTAATTGGTTTTACAAACTTTGATCTAATTATAGAAAATTATCATTTGATTTATACAAATATTCTTTTTTTCTTTTATGCTTCAGTTTTAGTGTAAATGTTGCCACTCAAAACACACACATTATGTTTTGGCTCTTTTTTGTTTAAAATATATATACCCATGGCATTACAGAACAAGCCCATTTGTTAAAAAAAAGGCATTTAAAGCATCCAAACTAAAAAAATAAGCTTTTTTAAATGTACTGTGCTCTTGTATTCAGCAGCCAACTGGCAAGTGAATATTATTAGAAGTAGGAAGTGTTCAAAACAGAGTGTGCCATACATTGTGTTATTCTTTGGTCCAATTTAAAATGTATAGGCCATGATGTCATTCCTGCTTTAGCATGTCAATTAATGCTTTCTAAGGCTTACTTCTGTGCAGCAGTTCAAATTACCGCAGCCATGCACTGGATTTAATATGTGGCCTCTTGGCAGTAAAGAATGTATTTCTGCTGAATAAATTTTTCTGACTGTACATACTGTTGACAGGATTACATATTTATAAATGTACTAAATGTATAATGATTAAAAGTAAAAAAAAATAACAATTTTGTTCTTTTTTGTGGTTTTGTAAAATGTTCATCTGGCAGTTAATGTATTTGTGTACTACTAAGTTGTGTTGCATTAAAAATAAGGAAAAGAAATTCATGCTCAATTTCTGTACCTGTAATTTATGTAGCATATGGTGAAATACAGCAATAATTTTCCCCAAGGGATCTGAGATAATATGTAATGATTCCCCCATTTGCCCCCTGCTTTACCTCCTGTAACGGTGTTAACCAGAGACACAACAGTGTGATGTCTGTCATCTTAGCCTTTATTATGCCCTAATGACCAGGACTAACACCAGTCTATTACTTCAAATAGCCTCAAAGACCCCAGAGTGCTTAGCATCAACAAGGGATTAAAGCATACCTTAGTCAACTCTGAGGTCAACTGGGTACACACAAACAAAAGGGGGAATGCGCAGAAACCTTCCAGTTCAGTTGTTTTATATAGCTCCAATTCATCCCAAGTCACTTCACAGAATCGATTTAATCAACTTATACAGACAGATCAGTTAAAAAGGTTTAAATTTAGGGAAACCTGAATTCACTACTGGATGAGCACAAGAGCGGAGAGTACCTTTCATTGTGCCGCTGACTTTGCAGCAAACCCTCAGACTTAGCATGGCTAACTGGACTGCACTCATTCTTAGGTATGCATGTGTGATGATTTTAGTCTTGCGTGCCTTTGTATTGCCCTGTGATGGATGGGTGAACTGCCTATATGTAACCCACCTCTTGCAAAATGACTGCTAGAGTTTGATACCAGCCTCCCATGTGACCAGCAGGACAGAGCGGGGCAGAAAAGATGCATCTATGCTGTGTGAAGCCTCTGCCACCATGTTTCAGAATTTGAAATGTGCATCTAGACTTGTGTGCACTCTCTGTTATTCTGCTAAGCATCAGAAAAAACCCCACACATTTTAACTGTGGTATCATCCTTTTCCCCATATTTACTCTGTACTCTACATGGCTTGTAGAAATATTAACTTCAAAAATTTTACGGAGTGCATGACCAATATGTTCAGGTCTCCCACCTAAGAAGTGGATTTCCGAAGCTCTTCTAAAATCCTACAAGACTATAGCAATTACGTTTTTAGATGAAACTGCTGTAGAAATGTAGAAGTAAAAGTATGTATGAGCTGATTTAAATGTTAGAGGGGAGTAATACGCTGTTAAAGAGATAGGTGAGGTGGGGGGGATTTAAATCATGATTTGTCATGACTGTGTATGTGTTCTAAATTCATTTTAGACGCTGATGATTGCCAGTTCAATCTGAAAAACTCACAAGGAAAGAAAAAGACAATTAGAATAATTTTACAGATACAATTAATTTAGTCTTTGGTACTCAGACCTCGACAGGAAACATAAGCGCTGAATTTTTTTTGATATGCATAAGCAGGAGTAAAGAACAGGGATGTTTTCCCCCCAGGCCTGAAACTGGTAGTGGAGTGCAGATAGATGAAGATGGTCAGTCCATAGACTGATGGTTGGCGAGACGATCTGCCTGAGCTGTATGGAGAGATCCAGTTGACTGCGTGAGCTGATACTAGGGCTTCACTCTGGGACTTGGAAAATGGAAGTCCAGCTTGGATAACACAGGTTGCTTGAACCTGTCCATGACCTGACCAAGCATAAAGCGACAGTGGAGAGGAAAACCTACCAATTGGGAAGAACATGGCGGTCTTCTGCTGTACTGGTTGAGATGAGACAGGGAATGCAGTAAGTGTCAGAGAGGAATGACAGTCTGATGGAGTCTTAGCTACAATGGTGGAGGAGTGGCTGGAAATGGGTTGAATTGGGGTGATCTGAATTGAAGCAGACATAGTTCAACCACTGTGCCTGTGCTTTGGGTAGCAGACTGAGTTGTGGATTTGGAGACCTTTTAAGATGAAATCTGGATGCTGATTGGGCTTTCGTAGAGGTGCAGTTCAAAGCTGATTAGCCTGTGTCGGAGGCAGATAAGGGGAAAGTAATCAGTTTATTGAGTTGAACTTATGCCTAGGCCTTATTATGCAAACAAAATGCAAACCAGCTGAGAGTCTGCAACCAACTGTGCTACAGAGACTCAGAATGAACGAATCTGAACTGACCCAATGGTCATAGGAAGAACAGTCGTCAGTCCAGTTGTTTTCATAGTATTTTTTTTATATCCTTCTACCAATGTGATAAAGTACTTCAATTCAGTTTATTTATATAGCGCCAGATTCACAACACATGTCATCTCAAGGCACTTTACAGTTCAACCAGATCATACAGTCAAATTCACTTCAGTTCAGTTCAATACAAATATACATAATTAATCCCAAATGGAAATGAGATGTTGTTATACAGTAGGTGTCTATTAGAGATGGGAATCGAAAAACTGACTTCTGTTCAGAACCGGTTCCGTGTGTTCCAATTCCATGGCACCGTTTGGCAGCTCACTTAACAATTCCAGGCAGCACCAGAGCCTAGCTCTGGGCAGCATCAAATTTTTTTATGCAAGTTACACACACGGCATTCAGTAAGCAAGTACGGCGTGACCAGGCGCAAGTCTAGAAAAGCTAAACAAAAGCTGTCAAAGCGATCAAA